AGTGGAGGAGGAAGCAGTAGTGGAGTGTGTGAGAGCAGAGGAGGAAGCAGAACTGGAGTGTGTGAGAGTGGAGGAGCAAGCAGTAGTGGAGTGTGTGTGAGCAGAGGAGGAAGAAGAACTGGAGTGTGTGTGTGAGTGGAGGAGGAAGCAGTAGTGGAGTGTGTGAGAGCAGAGGAGGAAGCAGAACTGGAGTGTGTGAGAGTGGAGGAGGAAGCATTAGTGGAGTGTGTGAGAATGGAGGAGGAAGCATTAGTGGAGTGTGTGAGAGTGGAGGAGGAAGCCGCAGTGGAGTGTGTGAGAGTGGAGGAGGAATCAGTAGTGGAGTGTGTGTGAGAGTGGAGGAGCAAGCAGTAGTGGAGTGTGTGAGAGCAGAGGAGGAAGAAGAACTGGAGTGTGTGTGTGAGTGGAGGAGGAAGCAGTAGTGGAGTGTGTGAGAGCAGAGGAGGAAGAAGAACTGGAGTGTGTGTGAGTGGAGGAGGAAGCAGTAGTGGAGTGTGTGAGAGCAGAGGAGGAAGCAGAACTGGAGTGTGTGAGAGTGGAGGAGCAAGCAGTAGTGGAGTGTGTGAGAGCAGAGGAGGGAAGAAGAACTGGAGTGTGTGTGAGAGTGGAGGAGGAAGCAGTAGTGGAGTGTGTGAGAGTGGAGGAGGAGGAAGCATTAGTGGAGAGTGTGAGAGTGGAGGAGGAAGCAGAACTGGAGTGTGTGAGTGGAGGGAGGGAAGCATTAGTGGAGTGGTGAGAGCGGAGGAGGAAGCAGAACTGGAGTGTGTGAAAGTGGAGGAGGAAGCAGTAGTGGAGTGCGTGAGAGCGGAGGAGGAGGAGGAAGCAGAACTGGAGTGTGTGAAAGTGGAGGAGGAAGCAGTACTAGATAAAAGAACTCCTGAGAATCGGGGATGTAATCAGGTGACGCAGCCGATGATCAGGCCACGGAAGTACATGAAGTTGATAGCGGATTGGAGAAGATTCTGCCAGCTGACTTTTCTGTTCTCCATAGGATGGTCAGCCTGTGCAGGGACTGACAGGTGGGACTGACAGGTGGGACTGACAGGTGGGGACTGACAGATGGACTGACAGGTGGGACTGACAGATGGACTGACAGGTGGGACTGACAGGTGGGACTGACAGGTGGGACTGACAGATGGACTGACAGGTGGGACTGACAGGTGGGACTGACAGGTGGGACTGACAGATGGACTGACAGGTGGGACTGACAGATGGACTGACAGGTGGGACTGACAAATGGGACTGACAGATGGGCTGACAGGTGGGACTGACAGATGGACTGACAGGTGGGACTGACAAATGGGACTGACAGATGGACTGACAGGTGGGACTGACAGGTGGGACTGACAGATGGACTGACAGGTGGGACTGACAGGTGGGACTGACAGGTGGGACTGACAGATGGACTGACAGGTGGGACTGACAGATGGACTGACAGGTGGGACTGACAGGTGGGACTGACAGATGGACTGACAGGTGGGACTGACAAATGGGACTGACAGGTGGGACTGACAAATGGGACTGACAGGTGGGACTGACACCCCATAATGTACACATTATCATTACTTCTGGATTTTTATTGGGGAAGCAGCCGCTGTTCCCCTCCCCCTCTCCCCCCCCCCAAGACAGGAGATGAGCAATAATGACAAGAATTGATGAACAAGCCAATAAATAACTGATACATTGTCAGGATCTGGAAGTGTTTCTTGGGGTCACCTGTCCCATGGAATGCCACGCCCATCACGCAGTGGGACATACCCCGGCCAATGGCTGACTGATGAGTTTAGCGTGAATCATGTGACGAATGGCGATAAGGAGTCGCTCTCCCGGCGTATGATTGATACGATCCGCCCCTCTAACACGGGGATAATGTCAGCGAGTGTCCCGGTGATGTCTCTCCTCGTACCCATCCATCAGACGCACACAAATGATAACCCATCCCGAACGCTGTCGCCGCGGCCCCGCGGATTTATAGCACCAAGCCGGTGTTTAAACTTGTCGAGGTTATAAATTACACGTGTGAGCGCCCCATCCATTCTCACATCCATTCGTCTCAGCAGATGTCTGTACAGGGAAGGCAGGAAGAGACGACGGGATGAAATCTGCTAATACTGTCATTTCACATATAATTGCCACTTTATGACTTCTCCGCAATAACACATTCCCCTCCCCCCATTCAGTATTGTTCACTGGGACGTACAGCTCAACTCCGCCCTTACCTGTCAGGCTTGCAGAGCTGTACCGGCTCCTCTCCTCCACTGAGATGGCTTACTCTGATCTCACTGCACACTGCGAGCATCTCACAATGTGCATTAGAAGCTGCAGCAAGTCAGAGCGACCCGCCTTCCTGGCCAGAGGACACAACTAGCCCCTAACTCCTCCATCTAACTGTCCCTGGTATGCCCATTTCATTGGCTGGATTTCAGTTCTGTCAACCATGGAGGCTCAGCACAGAGATACAAAGTAACATTGTTTATAAACATCAATCAGACGGGAGATGGAGAGGTGCAGAGCAACATTGTTTATAAACATTGATCAGATGGAGATACAGAGATACAAAGTAACACTGTTTATAAGATAGAGATGCAAAGTAACATTGTTTATAAACATTGCTCAGACGGGAGATAGAGATACAAAGCAACATTGTTTAGATACATCAATCAGATGGGAGATAGAGAGATACAAAGGAACATTGATTATAAACATCAATCAGACGGGAGATAGAGAGATACAAAGTAGCAATGTTTATAAACATCGATCAGACGGGAGATCGAGAGATACAAAGGAACATTGTTTATAAACATCGATCAGACGGGAGATAGAGAGATACAAAGTAACATTGTTTATAAACATCGATCAGACGGGAGATAGAGAGATACAAAGTAACATTGTTTATAAACATCGATCAGACGGGAGATCGAGAGATACAAAGTAGCAATGTTTATAAACATCGATCAGACGGGAGATCGAGAGATACAAAGGAACATTGTTTATAAACATCGATCAGACGGGAGATAGAGAGATACAAAGTAACATTGTTTATAAACATCGATCAGACGGGAGATAGAGAGATAGAAAGTAACATTGTTTATAAACATCGATCAGACGGGAGATAGAGAGATACAATGTAACATTGTTTATAAACATCGATCAGACGGGAGATAGAGAGATAAAAAGTAACATCGTTTATAAACATTGAACAGGCGGGAGATAGATAGATACAAAGTAACATCGTTTATAAACATCGATCAGGCGGGAGATAGAGAGATACAAAGTAACATTGTTTATAAACATCGATCAGACGGGAGATAGAGAGATACAAAGTAACATTGTTTATAAACATCGATCAGACGGGAGATAGAGAGATACAAAGTAACATTGTTTATAAACATCGATCAGACGGGAGATAGAGAGATACAAAGTAACATTGTTTATAAACATCGATCAGACGGGAGATAGAGAGATACAAAGTAACATTGTTTATAAACATCGATCAGACGGGAGATAGAGAGATACAAAGGAGGGGTGGGAAGGGGTTAAAACGTTGTACTCCTGTAGATAAGGGGGGGGGGGGGCACCAGGCAAGCAGATTAAATTTCAGCCATTAGGGCCAGTTCACACTCCATGCGTTTCAGTTGCTTTTTTTTCTGCAACTAAAACGCACAGAAAGTAGGTTCTATGGTTGTCAATGTCATAGTTCACATCAGTGCTTGCAGTTCCATTTGCAGAAAAAAAAGTAGAACAGATTGCATTTTTTCTGCACAGAACTGTACTGGAACGCGGTAAGATGCTTAACAAATGCACCAGAATGCACCAAAAATGCACTTGATCGCGTAAAAAAAAGCTCCACAAAAGTGCACGCAGAAACGCTTGTCCCTATTAAAATTGAAGAAAAAGAGAGGGGGGAAAAATGAACTGAAATGTATAAAAAATGCAATGGAAATGCGTCAAAAACGCATCAAAAACGCACCGGAATGCGAAAAAAAAAATGTCACAAAAGTGCACGTGGAAACGCTTGTGGGCTGCATTTCTATAGAATGACGCTACCCTTGCGGTGGACTCCTTGGCACTGACAATGGCTGCGTTCTGGATGGCTGGGTGCTGCCCCTCTCTCCAGGTTCAGGACAATCGCGCCCTCCGGGTTCAGGACAATCGCGCCCTGCGCCTGGATCACAGGAAGGTATCATCTGTACAGGGAGGACGATGCGATTACATCTCCAGGCTTCACACGCCAGATGTCTGCCCATCAAAGCCATGCACAGAAAATAAAAATTGTTTCTTTTGTTTTGGGGGAAAAAAAAATATAAAAGCGTCAATTAGAGGATTAGTCCTGGATGCCAAGCTTGGGGTGAGAGGTTCCTGTTGACTCGGGGCCAGGTGTCCCTCCTGCCAAGCTGATACGTGCGCTGCGCAGCATAGGTCCACAGAATGCCACCGCCGGCCTGTGCTGGCAGCGCCATTGTTTCTGTGTTTACCAAAGTCTTGGCATGAGCGGCGCGTTCCCTGACGGGCTGCGAGGTCTATGCATTGGATTGCGACTGACGAGCGACCACTCCGGGGGGGGGAGCTTCAGACAACCCACACATTCCTGATGAGGATGGAGTCTCGTTACATTTACCGGCAGCTTCCAGATATCACATCCCAATCCAAACTGCGGCTAAACAACTAAGCACACAGCTGTGTACAAGTACATGAACTGGGGGGGGGGACACTTGGCCGGGTTCTGAACTGCAGGAGCTGGAATTACTCAATTTACAGCCCCCCCCCCCCCCCATTTAACAGGGCAACTTATACACTTCTGCTATTGGCCTGCTTGTTCCTCATTACTTAGGACACCAAAGGGATACATTTATTGTTTGTTTGTTTTCTAAATTATTACATTTTTTAATGCAATCCATAGACACAAAAAATGTTTCTGTCTGATCATTTATTTATTTCAGGTACTTATATAGCGCCATCAATCTACGCAGCGCTTTACATATATATTGTACATTCACATCAGTCCCTAACAGGGGCAGACTGACCATTTGGAAGCTTGGGCACTGCCCAAGGGCCCAGGGTCAGTAGGGGGCCCCATGAGATGCCCCTGGTACCTTTTTCATGGGCTTTTTTGAGTTTGGGCAAGGACACAGGGGCCCCATGTTCCCCTATTGAGGGCCCGGGGTCAGTAGGGGGCCCCATGAGATGCCCCTGGTACCTTTTTCATAGGCTTTTTTGAGTTTGGGCAAGGACACAGGGGCCTCATGATCCCCTATTGCCCGGGGGCCCCATGAGTTGTCAGTCCACCCCTGGTCCCTAAACCCTCAAGGGGCGTACAATCTAAGGTCCCTAATTCACATTCATACATACACATACTAGGGACAATTTAGACAGGAGCCAGTTAACCTACCAGCATGTTTTTGGAGTGTGGGAGGAAACCGAAGTACCCGGAGGAAACCCACGCAGGCACAGGGAGAACAAACTCCAGGCAGGAGGTGCCGTGGTTGGGATTCGAACCAATGACCCTAGTACTGCCAGGAGGAAGTGCTAACCATTTAGCCACTGTGCTGCCCCATCATCAGTGATAGTTTAGAACAATGGGGTAACCATGGATAGAAATATACATTTTATTACAGAATTTGTCCAGTTTAACCACTTATCGCCGAATGGCGGCTGGCAAAAACCCTCACCTTTCTGGGTGGATACCATATGGGGTCCTTTCGGGCATGCGCAGTTTGCGTGCCTGTGTGATCTGTCACCGGTCATGTACCTCGGACACGGCTGATGACAGATCTGAGTACCGGCCCCCGTTGCTGGTACCATGTGACCTGCTGTGATCATGACAGTTGTATACAATGGAGGGCTTCATTCATGCCATCCGTTGTATACTAGTGTGTCTAGCTGTGATTGGTCACTGTGATCACATGCACAAGCTGGGCTAATCACAGCCCAGCTGTGTCATGTGATTAGCCGTGGCGAAATCACAGCTAAGCACAAAAAAAAAACAAAAACCTGAATGAATCGATGTCATTCAGGTAAATCAAAGTAATTCTTTGCTATAAGCAAATTATGTAAAAAAAAAAAAATACTGATCACTTCCCCAAAGTAGTACAGTGTTACTATGGTAACATTGTACTACTTTGGTCATAGTGAAATATTAAAAAAAAAAAAATTATATATTTTTTTTCATACTGTCACCAGTCAGTGTCCCTGATCACCACCATGCCAGTTATATGATGACGCTGTACTGCACTAGTGACAGTATGTAAAAAAAAAAAAATAGTGAAAATAATTTTTTAAATTTACCAAAAAATTATGACAAAAAAGATGCAACCTCAAAAAACTCGCCTCTTATGAAATACATCGGACTGTCTACTTTGCAAAAAGGGGTCATTTAGGGGATATATGTACTTTTCTGACATTTGGGGGATATCTGTACTGTTCTGACATTTGGGGGATATCTGTACTGTTCTGACATTTGGGGGATATCTGTACTGTCCTGACATTTGGGGGATATCTGTACTGTCCTGACATTTGGGGGATATCTGTACTGTTCTGACATTTGGGGGATATCTGTACTGTCCTGACATTTGGGGGATATCTGTACTGTTCTGTCATTTGGAGGATATCTGTACTGTCCTGACATTTGGGGGATATCTGTACTGTTCTGACATTTGGAGGATATCTGTACTGTCCTGACATTTGGGGGATATCTGTACTGTCCTGACATTTGGGGGATATCTGTACTGTTCTGTCATTTGGAGGATATCTGTACTGTTCTGACATTTGGGGGATATCTGTACTGTTCTGACATTTGGGGGATATCTGTACTGTTCTGTCATTTGGAGGATATCTGTACTATCCTGACATTTGGGGGATATCTGTACTGTCCTGACATTTGGGGGATATCTGTACTGTCCTGACATTTGGGGGATATCTGTACTGTTCTGACATTTGGGGGATATCTGTACTGTTCTGTCATTTGGAGGATATCTGTACTGTCCTGACATTTGGGGGATATCTGTACTGTCCTGACATTTGGGGGATATCTGTACTGTTCTGACATTTGGGGGATATCTGTACTTTCCTGACATTTGGGGGATATCTGTACTGTCCTGACATTTGGGGGATATCTGTACTGTTCTGACATTTGGGGGATATCTGTACTGTTCTGACATTTGGGGAATATCTGTACTGTCCTGACATTTGGGGGATATCTGTACTGTTCTGACATTTGGGGATATCTGTACTGTTCTGACATTCTTGGACCTCAAGAAATTAGATTGGCTGTCAGTACTTCAGGATTGATCAATATTCAGATCTATACCATAGATTGTGAACTCTATAACTTTCCTGCAGACTAAATAATACATCCTAATCTGGGTTATGTTCACCAAAGACATGTAACAGAATACATCTTGGCCTAAATTTATGAAGAACAATTATTTATTTGCAAACTTTTATAACAGAAAATAAGAAAAACATGTTTTTTTTTTTCAAAATTTTCAGTCTTCTTTTGTTAATTTAGCAAAAAATAAAAACCACACTGTTGATTAAATACCACCAAAAGAAAGCTCTAGTTGTGTGAAGAAAATGATACATTTTAGTTTGGGTACAATGTTGTATGACTGCGCATTTGTCATTCAAAGTGTGAGAGTGCTGAAAATTGGCCTGGGCAGGAAGGGGGTAAAAGTGCCCGGTATGGAAGTGGTTAAAATGAGACTAAATTGGTGATTCCGGTACAAAGCATTAGAAAGCATAAAAAAACAAAACTGTTCTGATGATCTGCAGATGAATGAAACAGAGTGAATACCTAACAATGTTACTTTGTATCTCTCTATCTCCCGTATGATCGATGTTTATAAACAATGTTACTTTGTATCTCTCTATCTCCCGTATGATCGATGTTTATAAACAATGTTACTTTGTATCTCTCTATCTCCCGTATGATCGATGTTTATAAACAATGTTACTTTGTATCTCTCTATCTTATATCTGTGCAATATTTATAAACACTATTTCAGACAGTGGCTTGTACAGCTTCTGTATTTACACAACTTCTGTCTGTCATTTTTTCACTAGTTTTGCATTTGGCTAGGATCAGTGCAGGGGCCCCCAGGCAATAGGGGATGATGGGGCCCCTGTGTCCTTGCCCAAACTCAAAAAGCCTATGAAAAAGGTAGCAGGGGCATCTCATGGGGCCCCCTACTGACCCTGGGCCCTCGGGCAGTGCCCGAGTTTCCAAATGGTCAGTCCGCCCCTGGCTCAGTGTCACTACTGGTAGCATGAGGTGATACCTGGACCCTACAGAGGTTGCAAAGGCAGTCCAACTCCTCCAGGATGGCACATCAATACGTGCCATTGCCAGAAGGTTTGCTGTGTCTCCCAGCACAGTCTCAAGAGCATGGAGGAGATTCCAGGAGACAGGAAGTTACTCTAGGAGAGCTGGGCAGGGCCATAGAAGGTCCTTAACCCATCAGCAGGACCGGTATCTTCTCCCTTGTGGAAGGAGTAACAAGATGAGCACTGCCAGAGCCCTACAAAATGACCTCCAGCAGGCCACTGGTGTGAATGTCTCTGACCAAACAATCAGAAACAGACTTCATGGGGGTGTCCTGAGGGCGCCCGACGTCCTCTAGTGGGCCCTGTGCTCACTGCCCTCCACCATAGAGCTCGATTGGCATTTGCCATTGAACACCAGAATTGGCAGGTCCACCACTGGAGCCCTGTGCTTTTCACAGATGAGAGCAGGTTCACCCTGAGCACATGTGACAGACATGAAAGGGTCTGGAGAAGCCGTGGAGAATGTTGTGCTGCCTGTAACATGGTTCAGCATGACCGTTTTGGTGGTGGGTCAGTGATGGTCTGGGAAGGCATATCCATGGAGGGATGCACAGACCTCTACAGGCTAGACAATAGCACCCTGACTGCCATTAGGTATCGGGATTAAATCCTTGGACCTTTGTCAGACCCTACACTGGTGCAGTGGGTCCTGGGTTCCTCCTGGTGCACGACAATGCCCGGCCTCATGTGGGGAGAGTATGCAGGCAGTTCCTGGAGGATGAAGGAATTGATACCATTGAATGTCCCCCACGCTCGCCTGACCTAAATCCAATAGAAACCCTTTAGGATATCATGTTTCGGTCCATCCGACGATGCCAGGTTGCACCTCAGACTGTCCAGGAGCTCAGTGATGCCCTGGTCCAGATCTGGGAGGAAATCCCCCAGGACACCATCCGTGGTCTCATTAGGAGCCTCCCCCGACGTTGTCAGGCATGCATACAAGCACGTGGGGGCCATACAAACTACTGAGGACCATTCTGAGTGCAATAAAATTTCAGCAAAATGGACTAGTCTGCTGCATCATTTCTTCACTTTGATTTTCAGGGTGTCTTTGAATTCAGTCCTCTGTAGGTTGATAATTTTCATTTCCATCAAACGATGGGGCATCCTTACATTCCTAACACATTACCCAGTCCATGTCAGTATAGAGATCCAGCAGGAGATTTTTCCCCATTGAGATCTGATGTGTTCTCAAAGTGTTGCTTTTATTTTTTTGAGCCGTGTGTATATATTATGAAAACTGGTCCAAAGGAATATTTATATTGACATTTAGCTTTAATAATAGGCAAATATAGTCAGACGTGACAAATGATTTGTGAATGTCTTCTGTGGGTAATGTACACAAAGTTTCAAAGAGAGCAGATGCCAAAAAGCTCAACGATTTTACACCAACAATAGAAGCACGTGAGAGGACTGTCACTCCGAGGGCACAAAATAAATTCCTTGCCAGCTTTTCAGGACTTGTGTTCTGCAGCACCATGTCAATGGACAATATATACTAAGAACCAGGAATGAACCTGGCATGGTTGAGCTGGGCAGCTGCCATTGGTACCAGGTGGGGTGGGGGGGGGGATGGCAAGTGGCAAATATCAATTGTTTACAATGATAGATTTTTTTTTTGAGAGTGATGAAACAACAGCCGTAGCAGCCCATATAGCCTTTATAACAGTCTCTGACCGTCTCCTGTACCGTGTCTGCAGTCTCTGACCATCTCCTGTATCGTGTCTGCAGTCTCTGGTCATCTCCTGTACCGTGTCTGCAGTCTCTGACCATCTCCTGTATCGTGTCTGCAGTCTCTGGTCATCTCCTGTATCATGTCTGCAGTCTCCGTACCGTCTCTGTACAGTGTCTGCAGTCTCCGACCGTCTCCTGTATCGTGTCTGCAGTCTCCACCGTCTCCTGTACCGTGTCTGCAGTCTCCGACCGTCTCCTGTACCGTGTCTGCAGTCTCCGACCGTCTCTGTACCGTGTCTGCAGTCTCCGACCGTCTCCTGTATCGTGTCTGCAGTCTCCGATCGTCTCCTGTACCGTGTCTGCAGTCTCCGGTCGTCTCCTGTACCGTGTCTGCAGTCTCCGACCGTCTCCTGTATCGTGTCTGCAGTCTCCGATCGTCTCCTGTACCGTGTCTGCAGTCTCCGACCGTCTCCTGTACCGTGTCTGCAGTCTCCGACCGTCTCCTGTACCGTGTCTGCAGTCTCTGACCGTCTCCTGTACAATGTCTGCAGTCTCTGGTCGTCTCCTGTACAATGTCTGCAGTCTCTGACCGTCTCCTGTGTCATGTCTGCAGTCTCTGACCGTCTCCTGTGTCATGTCTGCAGTCTCTGACCGTCTCCTGTGTCATGTCTGCAGTCTCTGGCCGTCTCCTGTGTCATGTCTGCAGTCTCTGGCCGTCTCCTGTGTCATGTCTGCAGTCTCTGGCCGTCTCCTGTGTCATGTCTGCAGTCTCTGGCCGTCTCCTGTGTCATGTCTGCAGTCTCTGGCCGTCTCCTGTGTCATGTCTGCAGTCTCTGACCGTCTCCTGTATCATGTCTGCAGTCTCTGACCGTCTCCTGTATCATGTCTGCAGTCTCTGACCGTCTCCTGTACCATGTCTGCAGTCTCTGACCTTCTCCTGTATCATGTCTGCAGTCTCTGACCGTCTCCTGTATCATGTCTGCAGTCTCTGACCGTCTCCTGTGTCTGCAGTCTCTGACCGTCTCCTGTACCATGTCTGCAGTCTCTGACCGTCTCCTGTACCATGTCTGCAGTCTCTGACCGTCTCCTGTACCATGTCTGCAGTCTCTGACCGTCTCCTGTATCATGTCTGCAGTCTCTGACCGTCTCCTGTATCATGTCTGCAGTCTCTGACCGTCTCCTGTACCATGTCTGCAGTCTCTGACCGTCTCCTGTATCATGTCTGCAGTCTCTGACCGTCTCCTGTACCATGTCTGCAGTCTCTGACCGTCTCCTGTACAATGTCTGCAGTCTCTGACCGTCTCCTGTACCATGTCTGCAGTCTCTGACCGTCTCCTGTATCATGTCTGCAGTCTCTGACCGTCTCCTGTATCATGTCTGCAGTCTCTGACCGTCTCCTGTATCATGTCTGCAGTCTCTGACCGTCTCCTGTACCATGTCTGCAGTCTCTGACCGTCTCCTGTACCATGTCTGCAGTCTCTGACCGTCTCCTGTACCATGTCTGCAGTCTCTGACCGTCTCCTGTATCATGTCTGCAGTCTCTGACCGTCTCCTGTATCATGTCTGCAGTCTCTGACCGTCTCCTGTACCATGTCTGCAGTCTCTGACCTTCTCCTGTATCATGTCTGCAGTCTCTGACCATCTCCTGTGTCATGTCTGCAGTCTCTGGCCGTCTCCTGTGTCATGTCTGCAGTCTCTGCCGTCTCCTGTATCATGTCTGCAGTCTCTGACCGTCTCCTGTATCATGTCTGCAGTCTCTGACCGTCTCCTGTACCATGTCTGCAGTCTCTGACCTTCTCCTGTATCATGTCTGCAGTCTCTGACCATCTCCTGTATCATGTCTGCAGTCTCTGGCCGTCTCCTGTACCATGTCTGCAGTCTCTGACTGTCTCGTGTCATGTCTGCAGTCTCTGACCATGTCTTGTACTATGTCTGCCATCTCTGACTGTCTCGTGTCATGTCTGCAGTCTCTGACCATCTCCGGTATTATGTCTGCAGTCTCTGACCATCTCTTGTACTACGTCTGCCATCTCTGACTGTCTCGTGTCTTGTCTGCAGTCTCTGACCATCTCCCACAGTATTTTGTTGTAGTGGTTGTTGAATGCATACACTGTGTACTGAGGTTCTGCTCAACCAATGAAATGATCCAGCCAGTTTTCAGGATTTCTGATGGTTTATTAATACAGTGCTTGGCTATAACTCACACTGATAATTCCTCGGGTGGCAGGTTTATGTTGTGTCTGAGGTACTGCAGACACCTCGAATCTGTGTGAAAGCAGCACTCACCGCCATAGGGAAGATCCCTGCAAATACAGCAGCATGGACTAATCTATAGAAGATACAACCACGTCCACCTACCTACAAGGACTAGAGGAAGCGCACTGTTCCTGTTTGCCCCAACAACTACTACCACCCCTCCCCCCTCCAGGGATGCATACATACCTTGATTCAGCAGCTACAGAGTTCCATCCCGTGCCACAAGTCCTCATCTCCTGGCTGCTTCTGCGCAGTCCACAGAAGTTGATGGGCCCTGTCTACCTCCAGAAGATGGGCCCCATAGACTTCTATGGGGCTATATTGTGCAGGCACAGCCCAGAGACATGAGGACTTGCCACACCACTTCTAAAGGCCACATCCTTTAAATTAAGGTATGTAGGCATTCCCTACCTATACCCAGTGAAATGACTGGCCTTGTGATACATGGAAAAGAAATAAATCCTCCTGTATAAGTTGTACCGGTTTATCTGTAGCCTCCTCTCCTCTAAATCCAATCAAAGTGCTCAATTTATACACAATTTCTGAGCTCCAGGAGACAGGGGTGGGGATCTGATGCCACATACTTCATCAGCATAGAGAAGGGAGTGGAGTGTAATTTGAGACCTGAGTGGAAGGAAGACAGCCATCCCCCGAGCTACACCCTCTCATAGGGAAACATGCACATCTGAGGCTGCCAATTACCTTCTATGTGCTGGGACATCTCCCGGGATTGCCTGGTGTCCACATTACATGTCAGCAGAGACGTGTACAGATAGCAGAGGGAGAAGACAGCAGACAGAAATCACACTTGGTGCTTTGGATTGAGGCACGTACACATTATAGGATATGCGTTGTTCATTGCAGAAGTTTACAACTTTAACCACTTGCCCTCCAGAGGATTCCCCCCCCCCCCCGATCAGGTAATTTTTTGCGACACGGTTCTGCATTACTTTAACTGACAATTGCGCGGTCATGCAACGCCGCACCCAAATTAAATTTACGTCCTTTTTTTCCCACAAATTGAGCTTTCTTTCGGTGGTATTTGATCACCTGTGCATTTTTTATTTTTTGCGCTATAAAAAAAAAAGACAATTTTGAGAAAAAAAACAATATTTGTGACTTTTTGCTATTAAACATGTCCAGTAAAAAAAGTAATAAAATCTAATTTTGTGATACATTTTGGCAAAAATATATTTTGCAACATGTCTTTGCTAAAAAAAAAATCCCAATATATGTAAATTAACTGGTTTATGTGAAACTTGTAGTGTTTTCAAAGGGCGGTATATATACTGGGATGTTTTTTTTTTTTTTTTTCCGTTTTTACTAGTAATGGCAGTGGTCAGCGATCTGTAGCGGGACTGTGTGGTGGAAATGCTGACACTGGGGTGGGGGGTGGGAATTGACTTGGTGTCACTGACATCACCGGTGACACCAACACAGTGATCAGTGCTAAAAAAAAAAAAAAAAGCACTAACACTGTACTGACACTGGGCAGGAAGGGGTTAACATGAGAGGCGATCAAAGGGTTAACTGTGTGCTGGGAGTGTTTTATACTAGGGGGCCGTGTGTGATTCCCTGTATTCACACTGCTGTGGATGGCTGTGCTGTGCACAGCCATCCACAGCAGTGTGCCCAAGCTGACAGGGAGGAGAACGGTTAGTAAACAAAACAGTCCTCCTCCTGTCGGAGATCCTTGGAAATCACTGAGCGCCGGCGAGTAATTACTGTCTGGGGCCTGGTGATTGACATTCCTGAATGGCGGCACAGGTAGGGCGTACGCCTCCTACCCGCAAAAAGCTAAACTACATACAGTGAAGATCAAAAGTTTGGGCACCCCAGCTAAAAATTTGTATTAATGTGCATAAAGAAGCCAAGGAAAGATGGAAAAATCTCCAAAAGGCATCAAATTACAGATTAGACATTCTTATAATATGTCAACAAAAGTTAGATTTTATTTCCATCATTTACACTTTCAAAATAACAGAAAACAAAAAAATGGCGTCTGCAAAAGTTTGGGCACCCTGCAGAATTTATAGCATGCACTGCCCCCTTTGCCCAAACTTTCGATCCCCGCTGTATATATATATATATATATATATATATGTGATTTTGCGCACCGCTGCCACCCTGTAGCAGTATTTCTGCTATAGGGTGGTCGGCAAGCAGTTAAAGTGATTCTAAAGGTTGTAATTTAAAATAAAAAAAACTAACATGTTATACTTGCCTGCTCTGTGCAATGATTTTGCACAGAGCAGCCCCGATCCTCTTCTTTTTGGGCCCCTCGGGGGCAGTCCTGGCTCCTCACCCAAGTGCCCCCCAATAGCAAGCCTCTTACTATGGGGGCACTCGAGCAGGCTTGCTCCCGAGCCATGCACCTGGGAATGGACAATGTAGCCTCGCCTCCACCTACGTTCTCTCTTGATTGGCTCACTGGCTGTGAGTAACAGCAGCAAAAGCTGATAAATGTCGCTGCCAATGAGAGGGAAACCCAGGAGAGCCGCCGGTCTCGTGCACATTGCTGGATCAAAATGGGGCTCAGGTAAGTATAAAGGGGAGCTGAGGGGGAACTTGCACCCAGAAGATTTTTTTACCTTAATGCATAAAAAAAAGTAAAAAAAAAAAAAACTTTCTGCCTTTAAAACCACTTTAAGTCCTTAGTTAACCTTCAATCAGCAAGATGTGATCAATATCAGAGTATGTGTAGCAACTTTATTAGATATCCAGCACTATCCTGCTTTAATTCTAATACCCCACCAAGTCACTTTAACCGTCCTTCCCCTGAAGTACATACATAAATCAATCAATCTTTAAGCACACTTGGTTACAGAAAACTCAATATTAGTGTATGAAGTCCCAAAATAAGTCCCAAAAATCTATATTAGTGTATAAAGTCCCAAAATAAGAGTCCAAAAATCAAAGTCCAAATAGATCCCAAAGAGAATATATCTTGATCAGTACTTTCTCAAATCTTCGTGTCTCCAAACCACCTTTTTGATATACTCCAAAAATAAATCTTCATATACCTCAAAGAAAAAAACTCAACATAGTGCTTTATCCAAATAATATAAAAAATATATCATAAAAGTGCCACACGTGTTACATGCAAAAACACTACCGTGCCACAGCAACCGTGAGATCAGATACCTCTGCCTTACATGTTATTCACTGCACACAAATAACAGAAGTGCATAATTACCCTCAAGGTAGTAACATAAGCCATAGATGAGATTATTTCCAACCTTTTTCCTTCAATCTTTCCAGCCACTTCCCACAGACCTCATAAACAGACCAGGGATCAGTGTGTATCATAAATAATCACAGTACTTTATTATAGCAACTTACATTAAAATAAGAAGAGATCAGCTTCCACACATAAAGCAATTGATTCCACAATCGAACCTCTCCTCAGTGGTGTTGAAATATTCTCACCATACCACTTTGGTGATCGGTTCCCCACTAACCATACACCTGTATGGAGGATTCCAGGGCATACACAGCCGCGTGTTCCAGGAACAAAAATGGCCGCCACAGCACTTCCGGAAGAGCGTCAGAACGTCACCACGTCACGTGCCCCGGACGCGTTTCGTCACATCCGGACTTTGTCAACAGGGATGACCGGATGTGACGAAACGCGTCACACTGATCCCTGGTCTGTTTATGAGGTCTGTGGGAAGTGGCTGGAAAGATTGAAGGAAAAAGGTTGGAAATAATCTCATCTATGGCTTATGTTACTACCTTGAGGGTAATTATGCACTTCTGTTATTTGTGTGCAGTGAATAACATGTAAGGCAGAGGTATCTGATCTCACGGTTGCTGTGGCACGGTAGTGTTTTTGCATGTAACACGTGTGGCACTTTTATGATATATATTTTTTATATTATTTGGATAAAGCACTATGTTGAGTTTTTTTCTTTGAGGTATATGAAGATTTATTTTTGGAGTATATCAAAAAGGTGGTTTGGAGACACGAAGATTTGAGAAAGTACTGATCAAGATATATTCTCTTTGGGATCTATTTGGACTTTGATTTTTGGACTCTTATTTTGGGACTTTATACACTAATATAGATTTTTGGGACTTATTTTGGGACTTCATACACTAATATTGAGTTTTCTGTAACCAAGTGTGCTTAAAGATTGATTGATTTATGTGTAGCAACTTGTTTAGTTTTGGATAAGAGTAGCAAGAGTTAAAAGACCCGAGTTTGTTTTTGCTCTCTTCCATTGGGGAGATTCCCCTTCACTTCCTATCCTAGAGACCCAACAGGAAGCGAGAGAAGATCCAAAGTGCAAAGAAATTCCCTCCTAGACAGTTGTCACTGCACAGGTGATTTCCTGATCTGGTGACAACTGGAAAATTTGGGATTTGGAAGATTTGCCCTCACCTCCTGCTCCAGTGACAGCTAAAAAGTTAAAGTATTGCAGCTTACCATTCCTTAGATGTGGTGGCTGCATTTGTTTTCTTTTTTCCAGTTAAAATATATTTTTTCAACAAGTATAGAAAATACCTGTTGATCCTCCTAGAAATGATGTGTCCTTGTCACTCGTGAGCTGGAAAGGAAGTACTAAC